CTCTGTTATTTTCCCTTTGAATAAACTTTCTACCCGGTCTCTTTCTCCACCTCCGCTTTAAGGCCAATAACTCTTAAACTTGCTCCCTTGAGGCAATTTTCTAGATCCCATAGGTGTGCTCCATTGTTTTTTATTTTTTTTCTCTTGTCTCCTCTGACTGTATTTTCAAATAGCTTGTCCTCAAGTTCATTAATTCTTTCTTCTGCTTGATCAATTCTGCTATTAAAGGACTCTGATGCATTTGTCAGTATGCCAACTGCATTTTTCAGCTTCAGAATTTCTGTTTGAATTCTTAAAATTATTTCAATCTCTTTGCTAAATTTATCTGACAGAATTCTGAAATCCTTCTCTGTGTTATCTTGAATTCTTTGAGTGCCCTCAAACAGCGATTTTGAATTCTCTGTCTGAAAGGGCACATATCTCTGTTTCCCTAGGATTAATTTCTGTTGACTTATTTCTTTTGGTGAAGTCATGCTTTCCTGGATGGTGTTGATGCTAGCAGATGTTCCTTGATGTCTGGGCATTGAAAAGTTAGGTATTTATTGTAGTCTTCATTGTCTTGGCTTCTTTGTAGCTGTCCTTCTTGGAAAGGATTTCCAGGTATTTGAAAGGACTTGGGTGTTGTAATCCAAGCTGTTTCTTCTTTAGAGGGCACCTCAAACCCAGTAATGCTGTGGTTCTTGCAGATTCATAGAGGTACTGCCTTGATAGTCTTGGACAGGGTCTTGGAGGATTCTCTGGATTACCAGGCAGAGACCCTTGTTCTTTTCTTTTACTTTCTCCCAAACATACAGAGTCTCTTTCTCTCTGTTCTGAGCCACCTAAAGCTGGGGGTGAAGTGACACAAGCACCACTGTGTCACCACCACTAGGACTGTACTGGATCAGACCTGACACCAGCACAGTACTGGTCTTACCCAAGGCCTGCTGTAACCACTCCCTGGCTACTGCCTATGTTTGCTGAAGGCCTTGGAGCTCAACAATCAGCAGATGGCAAAGTCAGCCAGGCCTGTGTCCTTCCTTTCAGGGTGGTGAGGTCCCCAGGATAGGTCCAGAAGTGCCATCTGGAAGTTAGGGACTAGAGTAAAAAACCTAGAAGTCTACCTTTTAGTCTATTGTCTTGTGACTGAGCAGGCACTCAGCCCACAAGATATAGTTCTTCTCATTCTTCCCTCCCCTTTTCTTTCTTTTTTTTTTTGAGATGGAGTCTCACTCTGTCACCCAGGCTGGAGTTCGATGGCATGATCTCAGCTGACTGCAACCTCTACCTCCTGGGTTCAAGCAATTCTCCTGTTACAGTCTCCTGAGTAGCTGGGACTACGGGTGCATGCCACCACGTCTGGCTAATTTTTGTATTTTTAGTAGAGGTGGGGTTTCATCATATTGGTTATCCCTCCCTTTTTCAAAGGCAGAGGAGCCTGACCCTGTAACTACTGCCCACCCCTGTCCGCCAATAGCCTTGAGGAGTGCTACTAGACTACCATGGATGTTCCCTTAAGGCCCTAGGTCTCTTAAGTCAGCTTGTGGTGAATGCTGCCTGTCCTGGGACTCCCCCTTCAGGGCAATGGGCCTATCTCTGGCCCAAGGCGGGTCCAGAAATGCCACACATGAGTCAAGTCCTGGAATTGAGGACCCCAAGATTTTACTTGGTGCTCTACTCCCTTGTGGTGGTGTTGGTACCTAAGGTGCAACAAGACACAGCCCCGTTTACTTTTCCCTCTGCTTTTCTCAAGCAGGAGGAGTTTTGCCCCATACCACCACAGCTGGCAATGTGTTGAGTCTCACCTGAAGCCAACAAGTCTCAGAGGCTCACCCCAGGCCCTCGGCATAGTACTCTGGTATCGCTGCTGTTTATTCAGGGCCCAAGGGCTTTTCAGTTATCATGTGATGAATGCTGTCAGGACTGGGTCCTTTCATTCAAGGCAGCGGGTTCCCTTCTAGCCCAGGATGTGTCTAGAAATGTTGGCTGGGGCTTGGGTCTGGAACGGGGGCCTCGTGACTCTGACCAGTGCCCTATCCTGCTGTAGCTGAGCTGGTATCCAAGATGCAAGGCAAAGTCCTCTTCACTCGTCTATCTTCTCTCCTCGAGCAGAAAGAAAAAGTCTCTTTTGAAGCTACAACTTGTGCAGCCCAGAGGCGTGAAGCCAGTACTCCCTTGGCTGCCCCAGCTGGTATCTCAGCATGTCACATGTCCCCTCAGTCCGCTAGGTCTCCGGGCCTTGTTCAGCCCTAGGACTTGCCTAAGAGTTGCAGTCCTTATGGCCTAGACTGCCTTTCAAGTTTGGCCCTTGGTGGCGAGGTTTGTGGCCACTCATGTTCAGACTGCTGGGATTGACAATTCCCCTTTGGCTAGGGCTGGTTTAAGTGCTGCCTCTGTGAGTGGACATCAGCTGAGTTTAGTCTGGTTTTTCTTTCTCCTCTAACAGGACAGTGGAGTTAGTTCATCGCCCACAGTTGATGTGTCCTCCTTCTCCCAGCACCCAGAGACATTCTCTGCAACACACCACTGCTGCTGCGGGTAGGGGAGGGGCAGCATCGAGATTCAGGACTGGTTTTTAATCTGTCCAGTGCCTCTTTTAGTGATATGAAGTTAAAACCAAGTACTATGTGTGCTCACCTGAGTTTTGATTCTTATGAAGGTGTTTTTTCTGTGTAGTTGTTAACTTGGTGTCCTTGCCAGGGGGACCATTGGTGGAGCTTTGTATTCCAACCTCTTACTCTGCCTCTCACCTACTTTTTCTTTCTTTCCTTTCCTCTCACGTCTTCATTTCTTCCCTCTCTAGACACTCCTCCTCTGGCAATGCATGCTTATCTAATGATTCTCTTGCTTTAAAAATCCCAGAGGCTGATCTTGAAACAAACCAGGCAGGGAGCCCCCATTGCAGAATCCTCCTGCTTAGAAGGAATCATGAACAATCAGTGCATTATCTGGCTGAAGTCAAGATGACACCAAACAGACCTCCTGACAGGTAACTTACCTGAGATAGCCATCAGAACAAGACACACAGACCCTACACCCCGCGCCACTTCCACATATCTCCCATACCAGGTTTCTCTTCAAAAATTACTGTGATACATTTTAAAATTCAAGATGGTACTTTAAAATGCCAGCTCACCATCTTTGGTTTACTGGCTCTCTGATGAACTGGCTTTTCTTCCCACCACCTTTTCTCTCATGTCTGGCTTTCAAGCAGTAAGCAGCCAAACCAGGGTTTACTTACACTATCGGTGCCCCTAGTATGGGTTCTCAGCATAGCCCACATTTCTTTTTGGAAATCTCATCGCACTTAACATTCTTTATTAAATGTCTGTTTTCCTTTCCATAGTGTACTGCACAAAAGGTCAGGGATCATCATGTCTACCTTTCACCTCTTTCTCACGAGCTTTGCCTGAGTTATCTGTGGCACTCAACCCATTTTGTTTGAAGAATGAACGCATCAGTTGACCGTAATTTCTCTGTTCTTTGACTTGGCCCTAGTTTTGGGAAGCCCACTTGTGATGCACAGTTTCTAGAAATTAGAGTATGTGGCTCTTTTCTGGCTCAACTCCTCTCGGTTTTTTACCTCAGTGGACTTTCCCTTGCCCAGCAGAACTCCTCCCCTGGAGGAAAAAGTCTATAGCAGGTAGGGTGGGGAAAAGCTCTATTAAGGAGACAGAACTTTTATATTGCAGGGGCTAGAAAGGGGAAATCTGTACCAAATTCCCAGTATCGTGTTGAAATGAAACAGCAAGGCCATGTTAAGCTGTCCAGATTGCCTCTCGCACTACCACTCTTGGTGGGGGAGGGGAGAGGGCAGATGAAGATCATTGCAGCGGCAAAGGAAATGGAGGTAGGCATACATGCACTGGCTATTCATTGCCTTCTCTGGAAGTCCTTTGAATGTTTCTAATTCTTGCTATTTTTCCGTAAGATGAAGATACATAAACACACAGAATTAGCGATTTCCACTAACACTATATGCTTACAAGAATTGAAGGGTCTTCTTATCTTTGATCATCTGTGTATTTTTTTTCACTCAGAAATGTTTACTGGGGCCCTCATTGTTCACGTTTGGGGCCATAGGCACAGAATGCAAAGATTAATATAGGAAAGAGTCTTTTTAAAAAAATTCATTTATTTAAAAAAATTTTTTTTGAGATAGAATCTCCCTCTGTCACCCAGGCTGGAGTGCAACCCCAGGTTCCCCCTCCCAGGCTCAAGCCATTCACCTGTGTCAGGTGGGATTATAGGCGCACCCACCACGCCCAGCTAATTTTTGTATTTTCAGTAGACATGGAATTTTGTCATGTTGGCCATCCTGACCTCAAGCGACCCTCCCAACTCAGCCTCCCAAAGTGCTGGGATTACAGTCATAAGCCGCTGTGCCTGGCTCGTCTTTTTTTTTTTTCCCTGAAATTAGTTTTACTTCATGAAAAGAGTCTGCTTTCTTGAGGCATGTACCTGCTGGCTGGAAAGAAAAACCATTGATTTTAAGGTGTGGTATAATGTGGTAGATGCTTTGACAGGTAGATAGGTGCAGTGCTTTAGGATCTTAGAAGAGGGAGGCAGAACTTCTAGTTATTATTTGGAAGCTTGCACAGTTATGCCTTACACAGTGGTCATATAGTCCTAAAGATTTTGATTGCATGTTTATAGATATTCCCTATGTTAACATGTTTTGGGATTTTCTACATCATCCCTTAGTTCCTGGGAGGTAATGGGACCTACAGGTTAGAAGTAGGGACCTGTAGGCAGGTAGACTTGGATTTCAAATCAGGCCCCTGCCTGACCTTCCAGGTGAGTGACTTAGATAAATCACTTAGTTTTCCACAACTAGGAAAGAGTGTACAAGTGCTGGGGTTAAATGAAAAGATGGATGCAACACATTTAATGATGCCTGGTGTGTAGTAGATGCTTGTATCAATCATGTGATTGATTATAGGTTTTTTTTTTTGGTGGTGGTGGTGGCAGTAACAAGCAACTTGTTTATATTAAGCTTCACATGACACACACAGACTTGGTTGCTGAATTTTTAAAAATATGATTTATTGGTATAAAAACAATTTATCCATTATATAAATACAATATAAATATCTCTTTAAAAATATGTATAAGTTAGCCATTTATTTGAGGTAAACCTACACTTTCCAAGAAATGATCTGGCTCTGAAACAGAGGATATTCAAACTGCATAGCCACTTTCCATTATTATTTCAAAACTAATACATAAAATATTTCAAGTGGTACTTCATAAAAATATAAATATCGCTTACATAAATTAACTCAGCTTCACGTATTTAAATATTAATAAATTAAAAATAATTAAAGTAGTGTCCTAACGCTCATACTTTTAGTTCTCCATAGAGAACAACATAGGTTCTGTGCCCTGTGGGCAGGTTTTTGACCAGAAGAAGGAATGCGCATGAACAACAACAATCTTAGGTGCCCACGCTACATTTGCCGAAGAGCCCTCAGACTGTACTGCAGGAACTCCTTAAAGCTGCGTAGGATGAGATGCGTCGTGACGCCCTGCAGCCACTGGTCCTGTGCCTGCAGCTTCGTCAGCAGGCTGGCATTTGTGGCTGGGTCAGGGGTGGCTATTGCACTTAGATTCTTTGCCTGAAGAGAAAAGAAAGCAAAGAGGATTGTTTAAATACTGAATAAATCCTTTGCAGTGGAGGGATGTTCTGGGCTATGGGATGGTGTTCAAATGTGAAATATGGGGTGAATGAGACTAATGGGGGGGCCTGCCCTGAATAGGACCCTTCTGCAGCAACAAACTTTTTTTGAGACAGGATCTTGCCCTGTCACCCAGTCTGGAGTGCAGTGGTACACAGCAACCTCTGTCTGCTGGGTTCAAGTGATTCTCGTGCCTCAGCCTCCTGAGTAGCTGGGTTACAGGTATGCGCCACCATGCCTGGCTAATTTTTTTGTATTTTTAAGTACAGACAGGGTCTCATCATGTTGGCCAGGCTGGTCTTGAACTCCTGGTCTCAAGTGATCCACCTGCCTCAGCCTCCCAAAGTGCTGGGATTATATCAGCACTGTGCCTGGCTTACGGCAACCAACTTCTAATTATCCCTTTGCTGTCTGTATCCCATTAGACCACAAGCATCCTGAGGGAAGCACCACTATCTTTTTGTTTGTTTTTGTTTTTGTAGAGATGGGATCTCACTATGTTGTCCAGGCCGGTCTAGAACTCCTGGCCTTAGGAGTTCAAGGAGTTCTCACCTCAGGCTCCCAAAGTGCGGGGAATACAGGCATGAGCCACCAGGACTGACCAGCATCACTATCTTATTTGTCTGTATTCTGTCATATGAAATAATGCCTGGCACATAGTTCATCTTTAACATATGGATGAAGAGCCATACTTGAAGGCATTTTAATGTGAGTTCTTCAGTACCTCTAAATCTAATGCTTTTCTCCAGTTTCCCTCTCACCATCCATTTAGGATCTGTTGAAAGACCACTGATCTGGTGATGTAAAGAGGACTGAAAAACACCTTTCCATACACTCACCCATATGGGATAAGTAACTTGTGGAAGGCCTTGAACCTCTAAGTGTGGTCTTGGAATTCTGCAGCATCAACAGGGATATAAGCCTGCTAGAAATATGACTCTTGACCCCACTCAAGGCCTGCCAAGTCAGACTTCACATCACAACAAGATGCCCAGGGAATTCCCATGCATGTTAACGTATGAGAAACTCGGGCTTAAGACAAACAAGTAGAAATGGCAGAGGCGGGATCAGCACCAAGAGTTTCATTCTAGGCCCCTTCTTATTGAGCTTTGGCTCCTCCACATGCTAGCCAGCAACCCTTTATTCCCTGCCATTCGAATAGCCAGCTGCTAGTGGCCAAAGCCCTTAGTACCTTCTTCCAGCCTTGAGTCTCTGGCCATTTCTCTGAACTAACTCTCTGGTAAAAGGTAAGAAAAAGAGTGGAAGCAACCACAATAAGAATGTCACTTGGCAATAACTAAAATCTTAAAGTCATTTTGTGCTCTTTGGTCTTTGTTTCTTTGGATCACTGGGTGGGGCTGGATGTACTTCTTTCAGCCTTTTTATTTAAAAATCTCTTGCATTATGAAAAATTGATGTTAAAATCCACCTCAGTTAATATAGTTTAAAATACAGTTATTGATGTCCTTTGCAGAAGAAAGACAACCAGCCAACCAAACAAATATTTAACAATCACCGTCAGAAACTATTCCCAGACTCTTGTTTACATGTAGGCTTCATTTTTGGAAGTAGCATTGCATGCCTGGGTTGACCAGGACACTGTCTTTCAGCCGTCTTCCCCACACCAAGTTGAGGGAATGAAAACACACTCACCTTTTTCTGCAGGGACTGGATCAGGCCTTTTGTACTCATCTGCACAGCTCTGGCTTGTTCCTTGCTACTCTCAAACCTGTTCTGGAGGTACTCTAGGTATACTTCAAACTCCAAAAGACCAGTGGTGATTTTCAGCAGGCAAGTCTCCTAAGAGGAAAGATGGTAGGAAAATTGGTTATCCCCAGGAGATCGAATCAATTTGAAAAGTTAAAATTGCCACAATTCAACATCTTTTCCCTCTGCCCCTCTAAAGAACTTCAAGTACCTCTTAGGCAGCACGTTTTGGGACACTGGACAGCATCATTTAAAATAACTGGACAATCAGAGGCCCCATGTAATTAGTTTTACCCAAAGCCCAACAGATGCTAGAATGTGGCAATGGGGATCCTTCTCTGATTCTTCCCCTTGATGTTCTTCCTGCTCTCTTTCCCTTGTCATTGCTGGGCTGGAACCTCCTTTTATAAAATAATCAGAAGTCAGTGCAGGTTATCTCACTGTGGAGAATGAGCTGGGCAGGGAGGAAGGGCAGACCTGGACCCTGCCAGGGGAAGCCAGAGAGGGAAAAGGCCCTGAGACCACCTTACTTAGGATGAACTAGTTAAACCTGTGTGAGTTCCTAACATTTGACAGCTGTTAAAATCTCAACAAAGTGGGACCATCTCTGGCCATACCTCTCCAAGAATAAATTACCTTAAAAAAAGCTTGAAGTTGGCCTCCTCATGAACTTTACAAAACATTCTCTACATCTACCCCCTTTTTGTTGCCACCTGGATCTATATGTATTTAGGCACTGCAAACAAGAGGGAGAAGTTCTGGCTAAGGAATAGTGAAAAGTGAGTGCGACAAGTTTGTACCTCATTGAATCCAGATTGGAAGCATCCATCTTTGTCTGCCATCTTTGGAAGATTCAGGTTGTTTTCTGCCAGTGCCTCTTTGCTGCTTTCACACATGTTACTCTTGTTACATACCTGGGAAAGAATACCAGAATGGTTATCATGTAAGTGCCCCTAAAACAAACACCGCTAGGGGGCCTTCTCATTGTTCAGCCGCAGCCAGGAAAGTCTCTAAAAACAATGAAGCCGCAACTCATTGGCATCCTGACAAGCAAATTTCAGTGGAGTGGGGCACACTTGGGTTCAGTTCCAAGCCCACCTGTGACTTCAGGTGTGTTACTTAATCCTGAGTCTCAGTTTGCTTATCTCTAAAAATCTCCCTTTGCAAGTTTCTTTTGAGGATTATACACAGTATTTATTTAAAGTGCCTGGCACATAGTAGATACTTAATGACAGCAATTTTGACAATAATTACGTGAATATAATCTATGAGACCACCTACCCCTACAGTTTTACTGATAGAGTGCAGAGGTGGCAGGGAACTTGTGCAAGATCACAAGGCTGGTTTGTCAGAACCAGAATTCAAGTGTGGGCTCCCAGTCCCCTCTCCTGTGTTCTTTTCTTTCTACCAAACAGGACCAAAATACCTTGCATTGAACGTGGGGAGTTAATCTATTTATGATTTGCCACTTTGGTGGGCTCTGAGATATGATCTTAGCTGGAATGGCTTTGAGGAATCCTAACCATTGAGTTTACATAGCCAAAAAGTACTGCAACGGCCCTGAGAAGCTGAACATGCCTTTCAGGTGGCACTTTTCTAGTCCTTCCAAAGCCTGAGAGACAAAAAGGAGCTTCACAGACCTTATTTTTTGGTGAGGGAAAAGGAAGCCCTGAGAAGCAATGCCCTCAGCTCATGCCAAGGGTGGGCATGGATTTCAGCCCCATTCTGCATTGTCCAGAAAGGAAAGGAACCTCCTGAGACCAGGAAAGGATAAATACAGGAGTCAGTCTAGTTGTCCCCGTTGGTCTCAAATCTAAAATGTTCTAGAACCCAGCAAAGACCTTCTAATGCAGGCAGCCCCAGTCCACACACAAGGGCAAGGGGAACGCATGCGCACAGGGGCCCATCAGCCCCATCGCCAAGACTACCCACCTCCTTTCTCAAGGCTGAGATGCCGCCGAGGATGTACCGAATGTGTTTGTCAATTCGCTCTGTGGAGGCGAGTAGCTGTCTGTTTGGGGCGGCTACCTCTTCGGAATCTTCTCCCAGGGGTGCTGGGGCAGGGAAGGCAGCAGGCATCACCAGGAGCAGCCCCAGGGAGAAGGCAACTGGTCTGAAGGCGCCTGTGCCGGAGGGAAGCCAGTGCACGGGTGAGCTGACAGCACAGCTGGGAGCCTGCCTCCGCAGCTGGCCGCCCGCCAGCCCTCCCTGGGCCACACACCCCTCCCTCACACAGGGCTGCTAGCGGTTCCAGGGCTACGGATTTCCTGCACTTACTTGTGGAGAGAGAGTTCATAGCTGGGTTCCTGGAGGGCAGATGGAGCTTCTCTTTCGTTCCTGGTGGGCTCGAGGGCAGAATGAGCCTCGGACATCTCCAGTCCCATATTTATTGGGGTTTGAGACTCTAATACTGAGACTCATGGGAAAATCCCACATTTGATAAATCTTCGTTGGAGGGTGGGGGTGAGGCCAGAGCGGGTGGGGCTGATTGGAAACCTTATTAAGATGATTGTGCAACGTGACGTCCTTCAGCATCGCAAGACACAACTGGGGGAAAAAGTGCAGCTTAGGTCGTCACTGAGGCTAATGCTAAGAAGCAGAAACACTCCCCCTTTACTTTCTTTATTAGTGACTCAGCAACTTGGCATGTCCTACAAAGAGTAAAGCTGAAGTCATGCACGAAGTTTTACAGAGAAAAAAATTAGCTAAAGCTGACTGTTTTTTGGAAGAAGAAAAAAAACTTCAATGAGATGAACAGGCTAAAATTGATCATACCAGTTAATTTGTATTTGTAAAAACCGAAGATGTTCTGAACTGAGTTTCCTCTGACTCCGTCGCGGGTCCCCCAGCCTGGAGTTATGAAGAAGGTAATACTACCAGTCATCTGAGTTCCTCTGTGTCCTGGCTCTCCCTGTGAGCAGCTGTTGTAGAACTGCCTGGCCACCCTCAAATCTCAAGGTGTGCAGTTATCTCAAGGCATCTCTAGGTGGAGTGTGTGACTCCTTTTTTGCCACCGCGTGGCTTCTGCCGCTTTCCTCTTCACCTGCTTCAGCCCACTAAAGGGAGGTTGGCTGCTGCCCTGTCCTCTCCCAAGTGACCCCTTGGGAATCCTACCAGTGAGGACTTTGCTCTCTGTGCCAGAGGCTTGCTTTGTGCTGCCAATGCTGTCCCCATTGCCACCTGCATCTCTTCACCCCTGCTCCACAGGGCACCTGCATGGGCCCGGGGACTGCTGGAGCCCTGAAGTTACTGAAGCCCATTTGGTTCAGTGCAGAAAGGGTGAGAATACTGCTTACCTCTTTGTTGGAGATGTCAAAGGAGGACCTTGTGGCATCTTCTAGAGCTTGTGTTTATAGCTCCCTCTCCCTGTAAGTCTTGATTTGAAATCAAAGGAACCTGGAAGGAAACTACTGACACAGGTATGGCTCTAGTCTCAGAATCTGCTTTCCAGTCCTCGGCTTTCTTACTGGGTCAAGCTTGTACAGAAGCCCTCTTCCCTCAGTACGTTGTCTCCTGAAGGAGGATCCTTGGTCTCATGCAAATGGGCTCTAGACTAGACTGTCCTTCCAGTCTCCAGAGACCCAGGCAGTTCTGAGATGGCTTCAGGCTGAAACCAGAACCTTTGCGACAACACCAAAACACTTATTTACCAAACATGGTGTTAACATCACAATCGGTTTTTTTGCTTTGCTAAGAAGAGATCTCTTCGCGATAGATAAAACAGTGACCTCTGTTGGGCATTTACTCAAGTTTTGTTTTGTGCATAACATTTCAGGACCCGCCTGTTGGGGAAAGTGAGGTCATCCATTCTTCACCGGTTGTCTAAACAGAGAGACAGTGGTCCTCTGCTGTGGTGGGATTTTTTGGTGTGAAAATGAAAATGGGGGAGGATGGCTGGGTGGTTTCACTTTTAGTGTTCTCCAGTCTTAAGCCACATAGACACTCCTGAACCAAGTTCTCTTTACTGCACGAAACGAAGCCACCACTCCCAGCTCTTCGGGCCATGCACTGTGATCTGTCTGTGTAATGTGGGATTGCTTTTACTCAAGTATCTATTTTTTAGATAATACAGTTCAATAAATTTCAGGTACTTGAGCTGAGTGACACAAGACAACACACAGATTTATCTTTTCAGTAAAAAGTGTTTTTTAAATAGGAAGTTTGTGTCCATGATAAAATGTTCAAATAGAACATCAGGGCATGCAGGGAAAATGGTCTCCTTCCTTTCCTGGCTCCTTTTCCTAGAGGATAGCACATCATCTCCTATATTTTCAATCAAATCCTCTGTTATTCTAGTCTGGGAAAGATTTTCTTGTCTACCCAGCTGTTTGATCCTGGCTGTTACATCAAGGATCTGTGCCCTTGTTTGTTCACCTATAAAACCAGGCTAGTAATAGTTCTTCCCTTCTAGGGCTGCTGTGAATATTGAATGTGATGGAGTCTAAAAAATTCTGGGTGCATAGTAATCACACAATAAATGCTAGCTCTTCATAACTTTCCTTGGCTCTGAGTCTCTGCCTTGGAGAACTCTTCCAGCTCAGCTTTGTCAGTTCACCTGGTGTTTTGGCTGTGAATAAATTATGAACAAGCCAGCCTCTGTGCCAGCAATGAACTGGTTTCCCAGTCATTTTCCCTCAGAAGAAATGAGATTCTGTGTTTTGTTGAAAATGCCTTATTGCGCAAAGTGCAAAATGAAAAAACAAAAAAGATTTTCTCTCTTTTTTGAGAACATTAAGATCCAAACCAAGTCTCTTGTTATAGATAATTATTAGTCCAGTTTGTGTCTTGCTCCTACTTTTTCCAGGCCTTCTGCTAAGTGATTTTACGTCAGACGTCCACAGCCTTCCCTGTGCATGGTGATTGCCATTAATTCAAACTCCTGGAGAGTGACCCTTGAGGGTGAAGGGGCCTGAAGCTTCTGGGGTCAAGGAAGGGCAAATTGTGGGAATGCATGTGTGTAGAGAGGTTGGGGACACTGTCTGTCCCCTGCACATTGCCAGCATGGCGCTTTATTAGTATCAATGCCTTGGGCTGGCATTTGCTTGTGGGCGAGATGAGCTCTCCCTTGCTCCAAAAGCATTAATGTAATATGCGCAATTCTGCCATGATAGCTTCCTTCCTTTGCATCTCAATGGATTTTTCACTTGAAGAGCTCATTCCTTGTTTTTTGTTTTTTCTTGAGATGAGAGTCTCACTCTGTCACCCAGGCTGTAGTGCAATGGCGCGATCTTGGCTTACTACAAATGCTGCCTCCCAGGTTCAAGGGATTCTCTTGCCTCAGCCTTCCAAGTAGCCGGGGCTACCGGTGTGTGCCACCACTCTTGGCTAATTTTTGTATTTTTAGTAAAGACAGGGTTTTGCGATGTTGGCCAGGCGGGTCTTAAACTCCTGACCTCAGGTGATCCAACCACCTTGGCCTCCCAAAGTGCTGGAATTACCTGCGTGAACCACCGTGCCTAGCCCCTCATATTTTTTAAAGGGCGGTTTTAGGTCATAGCAAAATTGAGAAAAAGGTACAGAGATTTCCCCTATGTCTCCCCTCCCCTAAACTCTCCCCCATATTTTAATATGAATAAGTGACCAGTAAAGGCTGTGCTGTCAGCATTTATTAACTAATACTTCAGTTGCTGGATTACATCATTGCTGATCTGAAGTGAGCACCAGCTGAGATTAAGAGAGGCCCAACAAATGGGAGCGTACAGGGAGGAAGTAGCAACTTGGCTTCCTATACCAACTGTGTAGGGCTGGCTGGTCCCGTCTGGGTATCCCAGAATTACCACCCATGACTGCTTTCCTACATGGTGGTGGAGTCCAGTTCATAATCTAGTAATACTTTTGAGACCAGTGGGGAGAAGTAACATCCATTTGGTACTTAAGCTCTCAGGAGGAGAGGTGTCTCCATGTCTCAGGAGTTAATATGTAGTGTTCTGCTCTTTCTCTATATTCTAGGGGCTGGAGATGGATGAGTCTGTGATTTAATAGGAGGGAGTATAGCAAGAAAAAACAGGAAGTCCTGGGTACTAGGGAACTTGCAGCTGCTGTCAGAATGTAGTTTCACTTGTCACCAAGTCATAAGAAGTTTGCAAACTGAAACAGTGGGTGATTTAACAGCTTCTGGGGTTGAATCGCACTGAGCAGACACCAGGCTTGAAGGCTCTGGGAAATGTCCTGCTTTGATGGTGGTGTTACTTGAAGAGAGAATATTAGGGACATGTGGTATGTCCGTTTGGAAAGAGCCAGCCGATGTTGGAGGGCAGCCAGGCCTAGTGACCAAAGCTCTTGACAGTTTCCTGCCTGGTCCAGTCTCAGTCCTGGCTTTGCAGCCTCAGCTCTGATGTCCACTTGTAGCTTCTTGGTCTGGCCTCAGCTTTTCTGAGGGGGAGGATGTGCAGGGGCTGCACGTACCTCCTTCTAGGCTAGGGAAGGGGCACATCTTCCCTGCTGTGTTTCTCATTCAGAGCTCCATAGGGAGGCCCTCTGTTCTGTGCCCTAGTTGTTTTGCTATGGGCTGACTTACCTCCCCCCTGCTGAAGTGGAAAATCCCAGGCACCTTGGGAGGGAAGTAGCCTCTCCTGGGGCAAAATGTGTAGACTCCCTTTGCTTTGGGACACCCCTGTGCCCCTTCCCCGGGTCTCTAGGCCTGGAAGATAGTGCCCTGATTACAAACTTCTATGAGGCTGGTTTGCTGATAAGAAAAATTGCTTTTCTGATCCCGAAGGAGCCCCACTTGGCCCTGTCCCCAAGGCTGGGGAGGTCCCTCAGGCTGAGTTTCAGTGCTTTGCCTCTTCTCCATCTGTGGGGTAGGCTTTCTATGGTGGTGGCTGCTGGTTCTGCTTTACAATTAGGAAACTTCAATTTGTCAGCTAGGAGTAATATGTTCATTTATTATCACGAGTCATTTGAGCCATCTTTGGTTTCTCCAAAGATCTCAGTTCTCTGAGTTCAGTATCATAGGCAGAAACTAAGCATGCAAAGCATTGGCTGGTTTCCTTTACTCTTTTCCCTCAAAATTAAGGTACTAAGAAGCCATTTGAAATCATCACATGTAATGGCAAGACCAGGGGATTCTACTGGCCTGGTTATGACGTCTTTCACCTCCCTTCCCTGCCCTTTTGGTTAGTTATTTGCTAAAAAGAGAGTGTCCTAGTCCCTCTGAACTCAGCCTCCTTAGGAAGCAGAATCCATGAAGAGGGTTATGCCACTCTAGTCTTCACGGTGGAATAATTTTCATGAAATGCTTTGGACATGTTGAGGACTCTGTAATTCTGAGACACTGGGGTCCATTATTTCTGAAGATGGGTACACCTGGATTGATTTAAAATGTTACAGAAGAATTCAGATCCAGGTAAGCAAGCAAGTCAAAGAATCATTAGGCAATTTCTTCAAGCGATTGAATTCTATGTTGTATGTACCTATGTATGTGTGCAGATGTGTGCGGCACAGAGCAGGGCCCTTGGCCTACAGACCTGCAGTTCCAAGGGTGGCTGCCCACTCCGTATGAGTGTGGCCTTACAGTCCTAGGTACCCAGGAAGCCTGGCCTGGCCATCTGCTGTCACTTTTCTGCCAGGCCTGCAGCTCTTCTTGTGCTGCTGGGTATGTACAGCGGTCTAGTCTAGCCACATTACTGTGTCCCCCAAGGGCACTGTGGGATTCCCTGAATCTCTCACCCTGGAAGCCATGTTTCCTATGTGCTACTTTTCTGTGGGTGGGATGGGGCTCGGGGAGAGGAGGGAAGGCACCCACCAGCTTGGCAAGTGATCAGGATATGTGGAAATGGCTTCCTATTGCCAAAGGCTTGTTTGGGGGCTTGCTGCCTAAGCAGTTGCCACCAAGTGCCTCAGATTCTCCTAGCCCTCTAGGACAACCAATAGAGAGGCTGTCATATACACTCCTCCCCTGTGTTGTTTGTTCACCGTGGGCCTGGTGAAACTACTGAAGACACCAGGTATGTAGTCAGGGGCAGGTCAGGTGTCAGAGGGAGATTTGGGTCCTGGGCTCTTTCTGTCTGACACTGTGTGGGCACTCTGTTGGCCAGGCTTGTAAAAGCCCTGTTGGCTTCTTGACTTCAATTAGATTGCAGAATTCAGAAGGAAGTGAGGGTTTTATACTGCCAGCAAAAAATCTTGGCTGAATATAGGGTTTCCCTGAATTAGGCTTGTCTTTTTACTGCATTGCCAAATCCTTGACTTCTTGTGTTTTGGGAGCCTAGTTGTTGGCAGATGTGAGTGTTCAGATGACAATGAACTGAGGATTTGGGGCAAAGTACTCTCCCACCTCAGGGGTTCGCAGAATTCCCTCCTAGCTCCAGCGTTCTGTGGTTCCGTGATTCTATGGATCTTTGTTAGCCATGTTTATTAACAAAGAGCTACTCTTAATGGCACTGTAGGAATAGGAGTCTCTAAATTAAGAAATACTTTTTGAAAGCCCAAAAGTCTGATGCTGTCTTCTAGTTCCCACCTAAGGACCTGTTAGTGGAAGTGATTTGACTAGGCAGGGTGCTACCCACTTTGACATGCCCAGGATCTTGGTGGCCTCGGGGAGACTAAAC